CCTTGTTGTCTTCTAAAAAGAGCAAACGTCACGTAGAAGGTAAAAAAGAATTTTTCTGCGACTCTCCACGGATATTGAATGAATTTTTGGTTCACATTTTGTCTAAAAAAATCCCTTTTTTACATATTATGGACCATTGTTTTAAAACTACCGAATCGATTGGAAAAAGTATTAATAACATTTATTGGCTATACAATACTCTTTAATTTGATGAATAGCACGACCAGATCGATCATATCTAACTCGAGATATGCTGCAAATAGTCAACATACCCTAAAAAAATCAGCTCCAAAACGTGTCCATAGAAAAAATTTTAAATGTGAATTTTGGCTTTAGGGAACCAAACTACATAAGAAAAATACAGTGGCGTCAAATGTACATTTTATGAATTGCTTTTTGTAGACTAGTGTTATTAAAGAAGAAATTGTCAAATTTATAAATCAAAAATAACAAGAAATTTTCAAAAAATCATATCGAGTGTCTTATGGTTATTTTTCAAAAGATTTTACCACAATTAAAAAGGAAATTGATTGTTATATTTTATAAATAAATTATATTTTACAATATATGTATGTATTATAATTTTAGATATCAGACACAAAGTGAAGTATTTATACAAAATTGTCAACTCTATTATTATTATTTTTCTGTTTCTTTTTTTAGTAACTCGGTATTTTAAAAATCATATACAAAAGATATATATAAGATGGGTTTTAGGGAATAGATTTTGTAGACAAGACGCTACAAATCCAAGAAACTTGAGGTCAACCAGAAAATGAAGTTTAACTAGTAAAAAATATTTCAATTTTCAAAACGAACATGTAAAGATTTATTTGTACAACAGAATTTCGATAACAAGCAATTTCTAATTTGTCATTAGCTATAAATGCTGGTAACAAACGGCCAACGTTAAGTTTTAGGAAAACGTTTAATGACATTAAATGGACCTTCAAACCTTGGGGCAAGGAATGGTTTAAAGTGATTTAATTTTAGAAATACAAAATCTGTAACAAATAAGTCTTTGTGGGTAAAATGTTTAATGTTGGAATGAAAAGAAGTGGCGGAAGGAACAGGTTTTAAATTTGAAAATGTCTCCTTAAGACCAGATAGTAGCTGTTCTACTTCTAAGTGAACTTGAGAAGCAACGAAAAATTCGCCTAGCAGGCGTAGAGGTTGGCCATATACTAATTCAGCTGGGGAACAACCCAGATCTTCTTTAATTGTTTTGTCAGAGGGATAAATAGATGTTAAAGAATCGACAGTGATTCTTGATAAAGCTAATACCAAAAAACATATCCTTTAATGTGAGAGATCTCAGAGGTTAGCTCAACTATGCTGTTTTTGAAAAGAGCTCGGTGATTAGGGGTGTATGATCTGTGAAAATTTTGAATTGGTTCCCTTGTAAGAAAAGTTTAAAATATTTAACCGCGGAATAGCTTAGAGTTCTCTGTCAAAGGTGGAATACTTCATTTGGCTGATAGACATTCTTTTGGAAAAGAAGGCTACTGGTGAAGTAGCTCCATTGTTAATTTGATCATCATCAGTATATAGAGAAAACGATCCTGTTGGAGAAGGATGTGAGAGAAGTGTAACATTGACTAGAGATTCTTTGGCTTTAGAGAAAGAATGTTCGTCTTCTGTTGTCCAGAGTTTAATGCTTTTGATTTTTTGAAGTTGCAATTTATTTACTAGTCTATGTAGTGGGAATAGGATTTGTGATAGGTTGGGTATGAAAGTGTGATAAAAATTTAACATTAGCAAGAAACGTTGAATTTGTTTTACTGTTTTTGGTTGAGGAAACTTGGATATGACGTCTATTCTTGATTAAGAAGGTCGAATTCCTTTTTCTGATACTGTATGACTTAAAAAGTCTAGTGAGGGGACGTCAAATATACATTTATTTGGTTGTATATTTATATTATAAGTATTTAGTCTTTCAAAAAGTATTCTTAGTTGCTCTCAGTGTTCATCTTCGGATTTACTATTACTACTACTACGGATACTACTACTGTCTTCGGCTGTAACCGGAATTTGGTGGTAAGCTCGAACTAAATCAATTTTCGAAAAGATGATACAATCAGATAAGTGAAAACTAAAATCTTGTATGTGAGATATGGAACTGTGATATGATTAAGTTGCCTATAGTCTCCGCAAGGGCGCCAATCTCCAGAGTCCTTTTTAGGGACTATGTGCAATGGAGAGGCTACTGATGAAGATGATGGACGGCAGATCCCTAATGATACCGTGACTTCAAATTCTTTTTTGGCTATAGAAACTTTCCTGAAATTTAGTCTTCGAGGGCGATTGAAAGGCAGATGAGAGTTAGTTATTATCTTATGTGTTGTTTGATGAATGACAAGAATGGAGAAATCGGGAGAAGAAGTTAAATTTTTTAGTAATTGAGTAAATTTTGTTTCAATAGAGAAAAGGTGTGGTTGAGGAGAAGTACGTGAGAGGAAGCCTATTACTGAAAGATTTGTTTCACAATCCATAACTCGCTGATGTTTAATATCTATTAAAATATTGTACTTGTCTAAGAAATCAGCGCCGATATTAGGTTTACTAACGTCCTCTAGACAACAAATGGAAAGTTACGTCTTAATTGTAGAGAAACTGTTAGTAACTTCTTACCATATGTTTTGATAACTGATCTATTCACCACTGCTGATAAAACGAATGTAGAGTTTTGTTTATGAAGGGAAATAGTTTAACTGGTAAGATTAATATTTCTGCTCCTAAATCAATTCATAAAGTTATTTATAATGTCATAAATAAATTGTCTTGAATTTAACTCATTGATTTTTAATTTGGAATTCTTTGAATTGGAAATTATGGGTTTATTCTCTATTAAAACATATAGTCCTTTTTTTGAGTTTTAGAAAGTATCTTTATTTGAGAAAGAATAATAAAATTTGCACCATTTACCATGGCAGTTGCGGGCACGATCACCATTTGGGAATTCATTGCTCTTGTTGCTTAGTTTGTTGTTGATTGAAGCAATTTGGGAGTCAATTGTTGCCTGTTTTTGCGCAAATGAGCTAAATATACTCTGACATGTCGTGGTGAAAGTATAGAAGGCTATGATCATGTCGGTCATGTTGGTTTGAGTAATATATGAAGTGGAAGTGTTTGTTGGTTGTGAGGTTGTTGAATTGTGTGAGTATAATGAGTTGATGTAATTTAAGTGTGTGGGTTCGTATATTTTTGGCGTGGAAGTGATTGATTCCCAGATCGTATCCGCCATATTTAATAGATCTGTTACCTCTTCTTTACCAGAGACTAACAGCGCTACTGAAATAGTGTTTAGCAATCTTGTCCTCCAAAGCTTCAAAAGAAGATCACAACTTACTACCTGAGAATTGCCTATATTGGATAAAAATTCTCGGTAGAAATCTGAAAGCTTTTGTTCTCCCATATGCATATTTGATAGAAGGTCATTTAATCGTTTTTCTTCGCTGAGAGCACGACGAATGATGATGCTTTGGACTAAATTGTACTTGGTTTTGTCACTAGTGACACGTGACAATTTGAATTGTGCTTCGATTTGTCTAAACTAAGTATCAAGTTTAGTTGTCTAGAAGGGAGGTAGTCGTATATTAACTATACATACTATTGATTTGGTCACTCTCGATATCTTGCAGTATGTGTAAGATTCTAGATACAAGATATGACCAAAATAGTAGGATGAATTAAAAGAAATAAATTTTTAGAAATTGTTAAACTTTATCTATCTGCTTTATCTATCGTCTCAAGGAAGGTAAAGCAACGTACCAACTACAACAATCTACTCCCTACTTTCCGAAGATTTCTATGTCTCTTGGTTTTGACTTCGTTTTCACCAAATTTTCATTCTCCACTTTAGTACCAAACAAAAAAATCTTCCAAAATCAGCTTCACTGAAGCAATAAGAATTTAATGGACGAGTACGGGATAATGGATAATTCCAATTTCAATTAAACTTTTAAAATTTTTCTTGATCGTGACAATTCAACACAATCTTCGGTTTGAGTTAGTAACAGTGATTCAGATGGTGTTTCTAAATGTTCTTTACCAGAACATACAACTTTATTCCAAAACGGGTTCATTATATAGTTACTTAAAGGACTTGCGGCATTGCTATTTTTCTCTATTTTTCAAATCCGGTTAAATGTTCCTGATTCAGATATTCGAAGTCGATTTTAATTGACTTTTATTGATTTGGAAGGAGTACATGTTTGATTCCAATTGACAGTTGATTCCAATGACAGTAAACAGTGCTGTTCAAGTCGGGGTCATCAATTTGTGGTATGGTTGTTTTTGAAAAGATTTTACCACAATTAAATAGGAAGTTTTTTGTTATATTTTATAAATAAATTATGTTTTACAATATATGTATTATAATTTTAGATACCAGACACGAAGTGAAGTATTTATACAAAATTGTCAAGTTTATAATTATTATTTTTCTTTTCTTTTAGTAACTCGATCTTTTAAAAATCATATTCAAAAAATATATCGTAGCCAAGGACAGTAGAATCGCAACAATGGCTGTAGCAGTCCTGTTAGATTCTACTGTCCTTGTATCGTAGCATATTTGAGTTTTAGGAAGTAGATTTTGTAGACAAGACGCTATACTGACTTTTTAGCGGACACTGTTTATATAAACATTTAGATTTCTCAAATTTAATCAGTTTTACTCGGTAATTAAATCGTTTAATCAATAAAACGTAATCTCATTTCTTACCGTGGTTACGTTTTAAGGTGAAAAGCCTATTCTGCAAAACCATAAAATCCAAGCTGTAACTTTGAGTACCTAAAGAGATCTGATACACTCTAACACCCCAACCTTTTATCGTTTACGACATCTCGGTGTAAACCCCGGATTGTAACCTTCAAAATCCTCCATCATAACAAAATACAAGATTGTTAGAAACATGTAATATCCCCGAATTTTAACAACTTCCTGTATGAAATTTTATTAACCATTTTATACTTTTTTTACGTTTCCTCATTTTATGCAGGGAAATTCAGAAAAGAGTTTCGGCGCGCCGTGGGTTGCTGCACAACATCCCCCAGCAATGGAAACTACGAAATGAATAGTTTATACTGCAAAAATACAGTCAAAGAGTATCCTAATGGGTCAGGAAGACACTTTAGATCCTCGAGGAGAACAACTCGAAGCACTTGTGCTGAGGCCAACTTTGCGCATAGGAGAAGTACCAAGACCAGCGTGGTGAGACTCGAAATGTAAATGAAATATTAAGAAGAAAAGGTTAGTGAGTATTTTGACGAGTAATTTTAGTTTGTAAATTAAAAATAACTAATATCAAAGAAATGTATTGTAAGGAAACTCTGTGTATATTTAACTATTAATTTATTCAAAGAAATTTTTCGTTCATGAACGTCTATTAAGTGTAGATACCGTGAGAATTTGGGATTATTAATTTTTTTATTAAAACGTTCAAGCTCCGTAAAAGCTTCTTTAATGATGAGATAATAGATTATTTAACAAGTCATTACAGCCGAGCTATTTTACACAAAAGTGGAAAAGTTTGCAACTCATTTACTTTAAGTTAATCATTTTCTAATGTTCAGAGGTTTTAACTATAAAATTTAAAAACATTTTTAATAGCCTGTAATAAACTGTAATTATTTAAACAGCAAAGTTTGAAAGTCATCGTTATGATTTATGTCCATCAAAATATGTATTTTATTTATAATAACATTATGTAATTAACCCGTGCGACGTTAACTACCTCTTAGTAAACAATTTACAGTGATTACATGCAATTTTTGTAGTTTTTGGGGGGAAAATTGTAGCCATTTGTGTAACGTAGTAACAACCGCGTAAAGTAGAAGACGTATTGATTCCATGTAATGTTAGCGTTTTGTCCGAATCATATAAGAAAGTTATTATTCCGAAAATGATTTAATGCTGACTGCGCATTAAGTAAGACTGATTTTACAGAAAGATTTCTTTTTAAATCTCGTATTCGCTTATTGTAACAAATAAAAGAGTTGCAATCACAGACCTGCAGCGAATGGCTCACATAGTGAATCATATTAACTGATTCGTTGCTTGAGTGTTGCCTTTATTCGTCCATAGTTACTGTGCATCATGTTGTGTGGTATTATTTCTTAAGTTGCTGTATTGTCGACTCCGAGACCTGCACCGAACGGCTCACATGTCGAATCATATTATTAATCAATCGTTGTTGCTATGGTTCTTTCATTCGTCAATAGAAGTGTGAATCATGTAGTACCGTGCTCATTCAAAAGCAGCGAATGGTTTGAAACCATTATCAGTCAAAACCTTAATTAAATGAAACAACAAAATAAAATTAAAATCATCGTAATTAAACAAATCTACTTTTAACTCACGTCAAGTCCTTAAAAAATGTAAATCCTCATAGACCAACACACCTGTTGAAAATAAACAATCAACTAACAAAACATCACTAAGAAAATATCGAAGCACAATCTTATAGTTAACACGTTACAATTTGTCATGAGACAAAATGGAATCTAAAACTTACTTAACAGAAAATACGACAAATACCGGTCATGCGACTAAAGTAAATTTATCAAATTTACAAGAGAAAGAAGAAAAACAAACGTTTAAGAGAGATAAAACTACGTTATGTTACATTTAAATTGCTCACAAAACAAAATGAAAATCTGTAAACAATTTCTTAATGAAAATAAAAATAAAAATTTGCTATTAAAACATTTTTTAGGTATATATTTGTAAAGAGGGGTGTAGAAAATTTCGACTTGTTCATTAAAAAGATCAATGTAATTGTTTTTACTATGTTTATCAATCTCAAATTTTTCTAATAAATCAAGTTTAAACCCTTTATCACACCTATGCAATAGTTTCACCCCTTCGAAATCCATAATATGTCTAGTCTCTTTGATGTGTTTGAATATGTTAGAATTGGGTTTATTTTTAAGTTCGTGTAATCGTATATCTAGTCTTCGCCCATTCTGTCCGATATATACACTATTGCAATCATTGCAGTTGATCTTATAAACACCATTATCATGAGAAGTTTCTTTATTATCATTAAGATGGTGATTGGATAGCAAATTAACTATGAAATTCCTATTACTATATGCTAAAGTCACATTATATTTAGAAAATAAACTTTGGGCCTTTTGAGTCAAACTATTATAAGAAACATGTTTATATAAATTGTCTTTTTTAAATTTTGTATATAGAGGATCCTTTGTTTGTTTTATCTTGGCTAAAAGCTTATTAAGTGTTTTGTATGTGTATTTATTTTGTTTACCTAGATTAAAAATATAGTTAAATTCTTTGATTCTATTTTCATGTGATAAAGGGTAATCTAGTACTCTATTAAAAAAGAAACGAAAACTCGCCATTTTTTTGGAAAATGGGTGTGCTGAATCAAAGGGAATAACAGTTGAAATTGTGGTTTGTTTTCTATAAATGTCATAGGTTATTGTATCTTTTACATTGATCAGTTTCAGATCTAGAAAAATAATTTCCTTATTATTCTCGAGCTCCAGAGTAAATTTTAATTTATCTTGTATGTTGTTGATATATGTATGAAGCCTATTTAAATCAGTGTTATTACCTTCCCATACTATAAAAATGTCATCAACATAACGAACCCATTTTGTGATATTATTTACGAAAGGATTAAGGTTTGAAAAAATATAGTTGTTTTCAACATAATCCAGATATATGTCAGCCAGGATACCTGACAAAGGCATTCCCATCGGCAGTCCATCTTTGATCTTATAGACGTTTCAGTATAATGTCTAGTTGAGTTGTTAAATTTTTATCTTTGAAATGTTCTCTGAATATTTTACTGGTTAAATTCAGGGTGATGTCTATGGGTACATTTGAATATAGATTCGTTACGTCAAATGACAGCATAATTTTATTCTTTAGATCAAGGTGCTTGGTATTTTGGATAAATTCTTTCGAATTAGAAACGGTATATTTAGGTTGGAAGTTTATTTTTTGAAACACACCAAGCATGAATTTGGCTAACTTCGAAAAATTTGTATTAACTACGCAAACACATTGTGGTATCGTTGAAGGTTGTTAGGTTTTAAAATGAAAGAGTTTCTTACAAAAGAGTAATCAATTTAAAGTATTACAGCAATAATGCTTACTACGATAATATGGTTCAACGGACGATGACCTGATACTTATTAATTAATTTGCTGAGCATACTTTTTATAGTTTAAATGTTTTATAATTTATTTAAATAATTATGAATATGGCTACATTACAACATGTTTTATTATCTTTCATAATCTTTTACATTTTAAGATTTTTACGTTTTAATTCAAAAATTGTTAACGGTTTTTTCGAGATAAAATTAGTAAAGAAATTTTCGATACACCATCACATTGGAAAACAAGGATTATCCAAACAAAAAAAAATTTAATAAAAAAAATGTTTATTTACTTTAAAAATTGTTAAACAATAGAACAAGAATAGAAAATAGATTTATTACGTAAACAAAACTATTATAAACTATTTTATCAAAACTACATGAAAAGTAACCAAAAAATAGAAAACTATAGAAAAATATTCAAAAACTAAATTTATAATGTTGAATCAATTTTATATTTACATAATGAATTTAAAAATAGTAAATTGTTGACATTATTTGGCCCCAAACGATTTCTTTTCTCGGTAATTAAATTTCCCGCCATAGAAAATACTCGTTTAGAAGCAGCAGTGCTCGCAGAAATACACAAAATTTTAATTGCAATTCTAAATAAATTTGGATATTATGTTGCATGGTTATTCCATCATTTCAGTACATCAAAATTTACATCTACACTAATTTTTGATGTACTATAACGTTACACTTCGCCCTCTATTACTTCTCTATTGAACAGTTGACGCTTTTCAATTATATTTGAGAAGAAAAAATTGAAATCCTCATCTTGTCTTTTAGTATTATTTTCAGAAATTGAAAAGTTTTTATGTATAATGTTGTCATTACATGTGTTTATTTCGTTCTAAGAAAGCATTCGTTGGGGGATACATGAAGCAAGCTGATTTGTGGTAGATGCTTGAATTTGGAAGCATATTTTCTTTTAGTTTTCGTATAGGTGTCTTCTTTTACTTGTATACATGATTGTCTTAAACTATTCATTGAAAGGTATAGATAATTTATGGTTACATGATTTACTCCTTGCAGTTTCCTATTGATTATGTAAAATTTATCAGAAAGTTCAACCAAAATGTTTAACACCGGGAAATGTATATCTACACATTTTATTGATACCAGCAAGTATTTCATTTATTTTGAACAAATTTTTTACAATTGACTTGAATAAATTGTAGTAAGAATTTCAAGGTGTAGAGCAATAGTTCTTTAATGATGTGTTCAACAAATGCTGCAAATTTGATTTTTTAAAACCTTTAACAACCTATTAATATTGGATGTAGCTCTTTTGTGTTTTGGAATGCAGCTTCCAACACATTGGTGAACAAATGATTAGCACAGTTTATGCGTTCGTGGTCCTTTAACGCTTTTATAATGCTGGAACCCCGATACAAATATCACATTCTTCATATCTTTAATTTCAAAATCCGATGAAATTAATTTGATTTTCTTTCCGTTGCCATTTCGTTTACATAACGTATACTGTTGTTGAATTCGGAATCACGTCGTCAATGTTAATATTACTTCCATACTTTGCCTCGATATAGATCAGTTTTTCAAGCATTTCTTTGTAGACCCCTTTCCATCTACCGATGAAAAAGGCCGACAATCTTCAATCACCCATTCAGAACACGCATGCAGTACACTCTCTGTGTTTTCGCTATTTACATGTGTTATTTCTCGTTCGCCAATATTATTGCTTTCAATGTAACATCTATGACGAACGAGGTTTGAGGTTTGCTTTCATTATATTTTAAAATTTTGTTGCACTATTTTTAAATTTTGATACTGCGACATGTAAGTTCACGCCATATTTTGTATTCATAATTTAATGTTTTTACTTATTTTGCAGATTTGTTAAAGTTTATATAACGACATAATGTTGATTTGTTGCTTTGGTTAATCATATAGCTGCAGAGTTGACGTTTTAAGATCCCGTTTCCATTTTCGTTTATGTACTTTTTATAAAATACCTTTACGGTAACTATTTTTTCGAATTAATTGACGATTGTAACACTTGTTTTCTCATGTTCTTTTTCATTTTAGTCATGCCTGAAGACGAGATCTAATTTCCGAAACATATGTAGGACCT